ATCTCCCTGTAAGGGAAAAGAAAAAGGCTTTATTTTACATGTTCCTGACAATTAAGTTCTGATTCATATTTGCCCAGTTGAAGGGTAGAAGCAGCTAACGAGGGACTGTAGAACAACATCATCCCTTCTCTCCCCAGCACCCTACTATTGACAATACAAGAACAACCACACAGATAAGAGAGGAGTTGAGCCCTTTTGTTCCCTTTTCTTACCGTGAGGAAAGAGTATATGTGTATGACTGCTCTGAAACTACCCTCTCCCTGCAACACTTAGGAGAAAAGCCCTTACATTTGAGGCTACTCTGTATGCAAACAAGATTAAAAAAATATAGAAGCATTTCTCAACCATTGTTACTTAAGCATGTTTTTACTTCCATTGCCTTCCATTTACTTATTTCAAGTTCAGAATAATCTTAAATAAGTAAATGTCTGACAATAGATATTAAAGATTTAGAGCCACATGAGCACACATATTACTACAAGTTCTACCACAAGTAATTCCAAAAGCAAGAATGCTTGAAATGTTGTCTCTTGCTTCAGATCTTCTTTGATATCTAGACTAAACTACAATAAAATTGATTGAGGTATTCATAATGGGAACATCACAAGCATCATTTAGGTAATGAGTAGCCTTGATCACCTCAGAAGTGAAGAGGTATCAGGATGTGTTACTTGGTAAGGTGTCAGCAGATGTAGGCACAAGTGACTGGCATATCTGATACAGTTAAGAATGATGAAGGGGACTATTTCCACTCCCACAAGGTTACATACCTGTAGTTTCTAATGTCCAATAATTTCTGTACAATACCCCATGTACTTTTGGTGGAACATAGCAAGTAAGCCAGCACATTTTTAAGAGAAAAAAAAAATTTGAATACATAACAATTCTGTGGTAAATGGATGGAAAGTGTCATTAAGTTTGACAAGTTATTTGAATAGCTATATCTTTTGCTACTGTTATCAGCCTTTACTGGTGCTGTAACAGAAAATTATACATCTGCCTACTATTTTAAAAAAGTAATTGCAAAAGTGTGATGTAACTTTCATTGGTATTCAAATAATTTTCCTCAGTTCACATGGCTGTAGACGTCTCAGTGAGTAGAGCTACAGGTTCAGGAGCTGTGACTTGCACAGCTCTGGACCTCTCTAGGAGTTATGATTCTGTCTTAAAAAGCCCAAAACTTAGCAAAAATTAAGTGCACATTTATCTGTACCTCATATTCTAAAAAGATTTCAGATATTCCCAGGGATCTTTAATAATGGAAAGGGGTCAAACAATGGCAGAAATACATGGCAGAAGTAATTATTGCAGCAAGGAAAAAAAAAAAAAAAAGAAACACCTCATGAAAAAATGAGAAAGTTGGCAAAGTAATAATCAAATCTGATGATGTTATGGTAAGTACACATGTGGGCTTCAGATGTCTCCTTTCAGCCATATTTAATTTTTATCCCTTTAGCACTTGTCAGCCTAATATTCTCCACAAAACCAGGCAGAGGTATGTATGATCTGTGCAGACAGCATGGAGACAACAGACTTCCAGCTTGAGGTGAGCAACTGTAGTGCATTTCTAAGACTGGCAGAAAATTTGTAGATCTTTTTTACATATAGCTTTAAACTATGTAAACATTGACTAAACAGAGAGAAAAGGTTGTGTCAAGGTAATTCAGTAGAATGCATAATGCAAAGGGTATTGCTAAGTAAGGGTTGGAAGGGGAGAGATGTGATTACTTTTCCTTGTCTAGCTTAGATACAAAAATCAATGAATGATCATCTTTACATCTTTGTTCTGAAGATATCCTTTTGTCTGTGCTACATCTGCTCTGTTGGTCTTAAAAGGCATGTCTAAAAACTGAAGGCTGTGGAGTCCTTTTGGAGATCCAGGCACAAACTTTGCAGTTTCATGACCATATGTCACAAAGAGTCTGAAGCGTAAAACAACATTTCTAGCCCAATTGGTATAGATCCCGACAGAAAGCATTGCTACACCTGCGACTTTCTCTCCTCTCAGTTTTCAGTGGCAGTATATATACATTGTACTCCGATACTGGATGCAACCGTGGTATTTTAAGACCTGGAGCCATGACTTAGCTTTACACAATTTAGATATCTAACCACTGAATCATTCAATATTCTTGGATGTCTTTTTTTAAAATATACTTTTCCTTCACTCCTTCTAGATTAAGGATGTGTTCCAAGATATCTTAAGGATGCACTTTACAGAAATATTTTGTCTTCCATAGTCACTCACAGAACTGAGTACCTGTTATCAAGAATTTCATTGGAATTTTTCCCTCTCCCTGGGTGACCATTAGCCTTCTTCCTCCCAGCCCCAACCCCACTTCTTTACGCTAATATATCTTCTATTAACAGTTTTAATTAGATGCTCTTAAGGCCTTCTTAGTCTTGCATGGCACAATTCCAAATACCACAGGAAAAATTTTGGGTTGTCCTAAAACTTGACTTGAACAATGACAGTGATTTGAACCTCAAAACCAAGATACCAGCCTATTTATGGCCTTGTAACATCACTTATGTCCTGTGAAATACAGATAAAATGTGAATGATAGCACATATATAGGAAGTGCATTATCATCTACCTGAATGTGCAGGCATCCTTCTTTGTTTTCAGAATGCTCCTGCCATGCACATATGTAGTCTATTATTATTATTAAGCATTTTAAAGCAGTTAACAGATAAGAACATTTCGAAGTTGTTAACTAGATAATTTTTCCCCAAGGCTTAATAATTTACTTTTTCTATAGTTTAAAAATATTTCTCCTCAATGCTTCCTCTGCTGTTTATTTTCATCCCTTTTACTGGGCAGACACACATACAGCTGCTTCAGCATGCAGCACCACTGAAGGGACAAAGAGTATTTTTGAAGAAGGCAGGGACTTTCCAGAGCATATTTACAGATAACTGGAAAAAATGTTTTCTGATGTCAACAAGCCTGATATAAGAAAGTCTCCCTCCCCTTCTCTCAGCAGCTGTTTCTGTGCTTTTTACCTACATGAGAGTCAACAATTTGTCTTTATCTGCTCTACCTTACACAACAAAAATTTTGGACGGGAAGGCAGGATTTGACTTTTAGGTGCCTGTAAATTTCTTTGCTTTCCAACAGTAGAATGTTCAGGCTTTTACTGATTGTACTGGTAGTTCTGAGTACCTATACTAAGTAAGAAATACTAAAAAATAAATAAGAAAATAAAGACATTTTTAATATTTATTCAATACTGTAAGAGACATTTGTAAAAAATAAAGAAGCAGATTTTTATATATATAGGAAAGAATAAAGGCCATATAGCCATTATGAAAAAGAGGAGGAAGATAAAAAATAAGAAATAATATAAATATTGCAATTTAGCAAACTTCCATCCTCCAGACACTCTGCACCAGCTGCACTTCAGGAAACTTACATGTGTTCACTCTAATGATGGTAACATAAGAACATGTTTTCTTCAGGCCTTTATGTTTTTAGAATATTAACCTCTCGTGTGATGCCTTTAAGTAGGTCAGTCTCAATAAAACCACATACATTTTCAGTGCTGGATTCACTTAACAGGAATGGTGTCAGCAATCAGAATATTGTATCTATTTCAGCCAATGTGAACGTTTGCCATGGGCAACTCACCTTTTAGCAATTACTAGCTGAAATGGAAGGTTTTAATAATACAGCTACTAGATGAAACAGAACTGTGTTCCATAAACACACTGGGCAAGTACAATATGGCTAGAACAGGTGTTAGCTTAATTTTCCTCATCTGTATCTGCAAGCATGTCTGGTTACCTTTGCACACTCATTTAATGTGGTCATTCAGGGAAATCAGTGCAGATGGTGTGTCACTCGTATGCACTTGCCAAAATTTTTTTACAACTTGAAGCCACTGTCTCCAGCCAGTATGAAAGCTCAATGTAGATTACAATTAGAATTTAATTTAAAACTGTTTGTGAGCATATCCTCGACACACGAGGAAAAAGAGTGGATAAAACACAGCTTAATCCAAAAGTAAAGTGGAAAAAAAAAAAAAAGACGTGGAGTGTAAGGGGTGTCTTATCAAATGTATATATACACGAGATTTTACACATATATACTTCTATATATGTCATCCCATTTCTAGTCAATATATATTGTTTTCTAACAGATCTAGAACATTACTCTGTACTGAATTTTTTGGCCAATATTCTTAAAAAGGAATGAATATCTTCAGTACTCTTCTAGTACTGAAAATATACTGAAAATATCTTCAGTACTCTTCCAGTACTGAGATTATAAAAAAAATATTACTTCATATTTACTAATACAATAAGTGTGATTTGTACCAAAAATGCAGTATAATAAAGTAAACTTAATTAAAGCAGGGAAAAATACATGAAAGATGGAACAGATAAGTACAGGATTTTTTATTTCCATTTCATCTGGAACGTTGATTTGCTATATTGTATCGTTTGCAAAATATCAGGCCCATTTTCATGAATGACTGGCAATGTGATCACTTTCCATTTAAATTTTGTAGTGACTAGGAAAGCATTTGGATTTTTTGTTTTGTTCTGGTTTTTTACATTCTGTTACTCCAAGTGTTTTCAATATATGCTGTTACAAATACATTGCAAGAGTAATGGGGACAAACCAATTCCCACTGAAGTAATGGAAGACTGACAGAACTTGAAAGAAAATGATTGTTATTTTCCCACTGAAATTGTTGAAACAAGTTTTGCTGAGGTTTTTTTTTATTTTTTATTGTTACAGCTGTCTCAGAAATAATATTTTTCATTAAGCTAGGTTTTAAATATTTTGAGGCATTTCTACTTTCTCTGCCTTCAGCTAATGCTGAATCACGCTCCATTGTATGCATGATCCATTGTATGCACTGTTTTTTCTTTGCATATGGTGACAACATTCTTTTCTGCCTATTTGGCAATATTTTATCTTCAATGTTAATTAATGAAACCTACTCATAAAGCTAAACTGATGCACATAACAGCCAATAAAGAACACTCACCTACTGTCAGTTGTCCAGTTAATTGTCCCATGTGATTTCTTGCATTCACTGTTACATTTCTGTCAGACTGTAAGACCAGTGGGCTATCCTGGGAAACATGTATAAGACAATAAATGAGAGAACAAAAAATTGAGGTAGAATTAAACTAGAACTAAATATAAACATGCATGCTGAGGGGAGTTGTTTCAAATATAATAGCCTTTTTAATAATTTCAGAAAGTATTTTACAAGTCAAATTTTTATATAAAAGATTAAAAAGAATACTATTTTAGGTTTAAAACCTTTGTGCACAGAATCCCTGCTTTAGAAATCAGAGTTGAATTTAGTTTATATAAATCGGGCTTTATTTCCTGAGGGTATTACCAAGTTACAAATTCAAAAAGCCTTAACACAAACCAGTTTTGTTAGCCTTTTCCATATATTGCAAACATTTATTTTTCTAACTACCTAATACTAAGCTACATTATTCTATTAATCTGTACAACCTATAATATTTGGATTGCACTTACTAAAACTTTACAAACACAGCCATGGATTTATTTGAAAGTAAAAGGTATCATTATTCTCAAAAAGCAAATAAAAAGAGCACTGGAAAGTGAGGTCATATAACAGATAACCCTGACAGGTACTATTAGTGATCAAGCCGATGTAGTGCAAAGACAAACAGTTTATGATGTTAAGTACGGTCTTAACATTTCTGGAGTCAGTTTGCAGCATGACTACATTGCTATCAGCATCCTAGTAGGTTTAAGCTTTTGAGGAATCTTTACATATATGTTCATAGGCATATGCTGTGTCCAAATCCAGCTTAAGGAATCTCAGAAATAGAGATAGGATCGAATTTTGCTTCTTGAAGAATGAGGAGACAGATCCACTCCTCCAGGGGAAGGACAGATGCACAGGAAAGTGGAAGAGCTTCAAGAGTGAGCCGAGAGAGACCCAGCCTAAAAAAACTCAAGAGTTTACCGATCATGCTTTCATTGGAGAGATGTGAGTGCATGAGGGGATGGGAGGCAAAACTAGGGTGGTGGCTGCTGCTGCAGAGAGGCACTTTCCACCATGGAATCCTGCTACCACATTGTTCTTCCCCTGCAGCTTGCAGTGAAACCATGGGTACCTTAATGCTTCTGGCAGTTTGTTAGCACTTACCTATGCTTAGGCAAGTTTATCCAACACCAGTAAGACACCTCACAGAAACAGCTGGAGAAGTGCCTTAGGTAGGAACAACTAAGGGTTAGGAAAGTATTTCTGAGAATTATTATATACTTGTTTTATTCTTAGATTCTTCCCTGAGAATCCATTATTAGTTATTCCTGGATTGAGCATATTAGGTTAGATAGATGACTTGGGTATGTGTGTCACAATATACTGGTTCTTCCTATTCTTGAAAGGTTCTTAAGACAACAATGAAAAGAGTTAAAGAGTTATTTTTAGCAGACTTATTTTTACGTGAATGATGCATTAAGTTTGCACTTATTTTTTTCATTCCTTACAGTCCTTTCCTTTGAATCCAAGTCTTTCCTCTGCAAGAAACACTCTTCCTAGTTGTTTTCACTGTGATTATTAACTTTAAATTATACTCAGTTCCCTGGAAAGTCTGAAATTATTCTGAGCTAATTTCTGAGAGTTCAGGTGTGCTTCATCTCTCACCGGACCATGCTATGACCTCTCTAACATCCTGCCAATTAGCTCTGCATCATGGAATCTGGCAGATGAAAGTCGCTGTTTGGCTTGTCCATCTTTCTAGATAAAAAGCTATAATTATCAGTGAGACACTGTGTTCAGCATGACTGGTTTGAGCTAAACATGTGATGCAATCAAGGGAGCTTCTGGCAACAAAAGCAGCTGCTAAGGACCTTTTTCTCAACACTTGATTTGATTTCCACTTTCCTTATGGTCCTTTGAAGATCATTAGTCCAGGAAACTGCTGCTCTGAGAAAGGAGGTTGTCCTGATAGAGAGCTGCATGACCAAAGTATAATTCTAAGGAGCCTTTTTCACTTTTGCTTAGTCAGTATTTGGAGAAAAGTCTTCTCAGTTGGAATAATCTCACCCTTAGCAAGGGAGGGTACTGTTGTGCCTATTTTAGCCTGCTCAGCTAAGAGTTTGGTACCTTACACTTCCAAATACCATTCATACTCTGATCTGAAGGTTTCTTTCCTTTCACCTTAGGAAAATACTTAACAAGATTCTCAGGCTAAAATCTGCCTCTCAGGTTTCTTGTGCTCAGGCTCTAATCATAAATTAAGACCTTGGGTATCAAATTCTCAAGTACAGGATAATGAAAAATTAGGTGAGCCAAACCTCCTTTCTTCTCCTTTCCTTGTCTTATTTAAAAGATAAAAAGAGGGATGAAGAAGTTAAGTACTTAAATCTATATTTCTTAGTTCCTGGATGTCAAATATAGAGCTGCAAGCTTAAATTCTGGACCAAAGAAAAGCCAGTGGCAAAACTCCTATCAATTTAAGCAGTCCAGTATTTTGTTTACACTGTTTATTTGCACCTCTGTTTTCCACAGGAATTGCCTAAAGACAGAGGTTCAAGGTATTCAAAGTTAGTCTACTCAGAGGAGTTAGCAACTCGGAGAAGACTTAGCTGAAATCAATGGAATTATAGATCTGTAAGATGAGTATAGATCTGTAAGAGTGAGATAAGCGTCAGTCACGTGAATATGAATTAACATATATTACAGCATAAAAATGTTGGATAATTTTATCTCTGGGTCACCAGATCTGCTACTCTTTTGATGTTAACTTCAGCTTGCAATTTAATAGACTTGATAATCCACAAAATACTTTACATTTGGTTGTCAGAAGGGAGTTAGAAATGTCATCACACTGTTTTCCTGGATATTGGGAATAAAAAAAAAAAGTTGATGAATATATAAACACAAAGAATAGAAAAAAAATCAGATGGTTAAGTTCTCTAAATACTGTGGAAGTATTTGGAAGCAAAGAAGATTTATTCTGAAGTCAGACAAGCCTAGGAACATGCATAGTTACTTTCTTGATATAATTTTCTAGGCTGATGTCACCCAACAGCTGATAAAGTATAAAAAAAATGTAGATTGCTGTATTAGTAATTTTTGTATATTTACTTAATGAAAAAAGGTTCAGGTTATACCTGACAAAAACACACACATGAAAAAAGGGGCAAAGATCTGTTACTTCTGTTGCTGACATTATACAGCTGAATACCAGATCTTCCATTTAGAGGTGAACATAAAGAACATATTCCCTTACACGTAACAAAGTAATGTAGTGCTATAAGATTAGTTCTCTATATTTCTGTAGCTCAGTGTTATGAATATCAGGAACAGATGTGCTCCGTATTTAGAATATAATCATACACATGCAGTGTAAAATTTATCATGAGCAACTCCAAGGAACATCCTTGAAGAAGTTCTTCATCACCTATTATTATTTCTTAACACAGTTAATCTGAATGCATGAGAAAAAGAAATAAAAAGGCAGGTCTCTCTTGCCCATCCCAAACTTTCTACCCCTGGAAAAGGCCATGCCATACTTGAAGCCCCAGCCCCCTGAGTTCAGAAGCTGCCTGAACTTGCAGTTCCAGACACTTGAACAGGGAGTTTCCTGAGGTATGGGAAACTGAGGCCACGTTCAGATTAACAGCATTATTTGATCTAGGAGCAATCTGAAATCTTTATTATGAAATCTTCCCCATAAAAAGCACATGCAAAAAAATTGTAACTGGACATATGACCTTTTTCCTCCCCCTTTCTTTCATGGAAATTCAGATCTTGCTCTCCTGTTTCCTCATTTTGCATAACATACATACAACCATGGCTTCTTTCCCACTCCTTATAATTCTAACTTGAACTACAAGAATGTGTGCTGATTTAAGCATAGAAGTTAATGTGCCATATAAATTTGCTGAGATTACCTGTATTTGTTAAACATTTACAGGAATAGTTTCACATATACTGCAAAGCTAGTGAAAAATCTTTAAATGGAACAAGTCATACTGTTCATGGGACAATTTTGTAAGTATTCTTCATGCACAGCAAGTTGCTTTCCTTTAGCTATAGTGCCCATTTACAGGACAATTAGAAGCTTGCTTTGCAAACACATGGAAAAACCAAAAAGAGATTTCAGATAGTGAGATTACATCAGTTTTAATTTTTCTGGAAATTATTTCTGAACTCAGTTATCTTAATAGGGAACTTTTTTCAGCTGTACAAGATAAAATACTGAATCTCATGTCCTGAAAAGGTCTATTTTTTTTAAGCTAAACGTAAATTAAAACATCTGAGGTAAAAGATTTTATTTGGGGAACACAGCTTTCTGCAGTTTTCCCCAATCCTTAATGAATCACATCCATCAGAGTAAGAAACTTTTACCTCAAATATAATTTCTCCTGATTTAAATTCTGTACTGAAGTATAATCCTTTACATCACATTGACACAGAAATGTCTTTGATGTTACTAATTCGTTAATAATTTCTTAAAAAAAATATGAAGCGTAGTAAGCTATATATACACCTCATTAACAGAACACTTGAACTTTCTATTTCTGCACTGCTATGTAAATGTGGGCTTCAGAAAAGAGGTAGTAAATGATTTGTAATGCCATTTCAAAAGTTATGCTGTAGATAACAAAAAGCAATATAGTAAGAACATTCTTACAGCTACATAGAGCTTTTAATAATAACAATATACTAATAACTAAAATACTGTAGAGGGATACTCTCAAGGCCATGAAGGCACCACCAGCCCTTACTGGCCCTGCCCAAACTCCATGGGGCCTTCCCCACCCCTGGGGAGGGTATTTCATTCCAGACCCGTTTGAACCCCTTGTGTCAGGTTTGTCCTGCTTGGCTCCCCTTACCCCTTAGGAAGCAGTCAGCCCTGACAGATATGAGGACCCCAAGAACCAGCTGATGGCCATGATACTGTATGAGATGACTCCCGTTATAAACCCTAAAATATTACATCTTCAAGATGTAGTGTATTAAAGGCAAACCAGATGAACACGATGCTACTATACTCACTTCTTATCTGAAACAGGTTTGCAGCTGGGATTCATAAAGGGAAAAATAAACAATTAATTTAGGGGAAGTTTTCAA